CAAGACCCATAGGTAGAACCCTAGGAATAACTCACCTGAAGACCCAAAGCCATAACAACCTATACCTCAACCCTAAACCCACCCAATCTAAGACCCACAAGATGGAACCACCAGAAGAGCCATACACCACCCCATAGAAAACCCCCAACCTCAAACCCATATACCAATACTCCCATAGAAAAACCATGTTCCCCAACCCGAAATCCCTAACCTGTGAAAATGGAAATGGTCTTCTTAAATAATTTTACGATAATAGGAATAAGGTTTAGGAATAAGGTAGGAATAAGAAGCAAGAATAATATTATTTCAACAAAATAATGTTATTATTGGTTGTTATTTAGGCTTGACTAGTTCGCTGTATTCTTCTTCAATGTCCTGAATACTTTTATTCAACCACTTAACAGCATTTTTTGGTTTCACATCTAAACATTTAGTGTCTTTGATTCCCCCACGTTGACAAAGTATTTCAATATGTTCAATTAAATCCGAATATTGTTTTATTAATTTTGTATCTTCTGAAATTTTACCTTCTAAAATAGATATATCGCGCCTAACATTCAAGACATCTTCTTGGTCAAAAACACTTTCATAAACTTTAATCAACTTACATAAAACCTTCATTTTATTTAAGTAATCTATTTCATTTATTTTCATGTCATATATCTTCTTGATATACTTCACTTGTATTTTATATGTATTTAAATCTGTATAGTGCATTTTTCTCTTAATATATATATATATAGTTGTTATTTCTTCAGGTGCTTTTTCTTTAGAAATTATTTTCTTATACTGAAACAATACTCTAATGATTTGAATTCTTGAAGTAAATCATTAGAACATTGCATAGGGACTGCAGGGGTTTTCTTTTCCTTCTGTCGCCTCAGTTGAAATGACAGGCGCCAACGAGAACTACAAAGAAAGGAACAAGGTGCGAATTGAAGCTCGGCTTTAAGTGCTGGTGAGTCACACTTTTCCACGGTTGGCTGGATTTTGTTCCAGTCATATTTCCCGCACCCGTTCATCATTGCCAACTGCTCCGCTTGAACTTCCGTGAAGCCACCAACCCATACATCTTGTTGGCGACCGGGACCACCAGCATCGAAAGCCAGCGCGAAGGCGGCAGAGGAGTAGGAAACGATGACCTCAAGCGCATGGGGGTGTGGGTGAGTTAGGGGAGTTAGGGGCTTACTAGTTTAGCAAAGCCTTAAGCGAAATTTTAGAATGCAGAAGGTGGGGCGTGGGTTGGTGCTTGGTCAGCGCCATCTGTTGCCAATGTCTTGGCGGTGGTGGAAACCAACTTCATGGCATCCGCACCTTCAGGGGTCGTCTCGTTGGGTAGTCCTACACTTTTTTTCGCGAGAGCCCGCCTCCTACGACTTCGCGGTGAACCTCGAGCAGCAGTATCGGGAACTTGGTCGGATTGTCCGGGAACTTTTCAAGCTCTCTCCGGACATGGCGCAAGACCTCTTTGAACATGCCCGCGTCATTCACACGCATCTTCTTATACATCGCCTCCTTCCAGCCTGCAGATTCGACATCAAACTGGAAGACACCGCGGACGCCGCGCAGTGCTTCATTGACTGCCACGGTTTTGCCGGCCGAGTAGCGGCCACTGACGATTGTTGCTTTCTTGGTTTGGCGGCTCCATTTTCTAACGAGCTCCTTAATGGTCTCCATGATGTCCCGCTTCACCACCTGCTCTTCTAGGTCGCTTATCTCGTAGGGCCTCAGGAAGTTCTGCACCGCTTCAGAAATCTTGTTGTCATCACCGTCCTTATAAGACTCAGTCGCCTGCACATACGTGTAGTAAATGGTCGGTCCACCTACCAGTATAGCAATGGGCTCTTTTCGCAAAACGGGTCCCAGCACTGCCGTAATTCCAGCAAGAAAATGACCCAACCTTGTGCATTTTGTTCTCATGTAGTTCCTCCAGCTACGGCACTGCCTGGAAGCGTCTTCACCCGAGATGGACCGAGCCGCCTCCACGTCGGCGACATCGCTCATGCCGAAATGCTACATGGCTCACCAGATGAACTCAAAGAAGCCCTGAAGATTAACTTACCATGTCATGTCGCCCATGCGCACACAAACAAACATTTACACAACCAAAAGAACCGACAGCCCTAAACCTCCAAAGAATACACGAACAGCCCTTAAGCCTGCTGCGTCACATGCATGTGTAGAAATCGCAAGGCACTGCGACAACCTTATTCCTAAACCTTATTCCTAAACATTATTCCTATTATAGATATTTTATTA